TCTTTCTTCCTTTTTTTTAAAGAAAATTCAACTGCATCCTCACTTTTTGAGATAAAAAGAATTTTATTCTTCTTACCACACCTCCAGAGGACATTTTGTTAAAAAAGAATTTAGAAAAGATTCTTAGACACTGTTTTATAAACTACTTTCCATATGTTCCACTTATATATTCATAAACTTATTCTTGAGCTTATTCCGTAATCTTTTGTTAGAATAATCTGTAAAGGCTATAAATTAAAGGGAGTAACTGGGAAGATTTGCACATTACCATTGTATTGAAAAGTATAATTCAATTTTTTTTCGAACTCGGGCTAACAGAATACTTAAAGGTTAAAAATGGATATACCTTTTGGCCCAGCAATTACATTTCTGGGTATTTATCCAAAGAAAACCAAAACAATAATTCGTAAAGATCTATGCACTCCAATATTCATGGCAGCACAATTTACAATAGCCAAAATATGGAAGCAACCTAAATGCCCATCCACAAACAATTGGATAAAGAAATCATGGTTCATATATACAATGGAATATTACTCAGCCATTAAAAAAAATGAAATCCTACCATTTGCAATGGATGGACCTAGAGGTTATTATGCTGAGTGAAATAAGTCAGACAGAGAAAGATAAATACCATATGATTTCACTTATATGAGTAATCTAAGGAACAAAAAGAACAAACTAATCAAAAACAGACTCACAAATATAGTGGACAATTTGGTGATGGACAAAGGGGATGGGAGTTGGGAGGCTGGGAGAATGAGTGAAGAGTTAAAGAAGTACAAATTAATAGTTGATAGTTGGTCACGTGGGTGGGAAGCATGGCAGAGAGAATGCAGTTAGCATTAATATGATGGCTACATGGAAGGCCAGGAGAGGGAGGGAGCAATTGGGGAGATCGTTTTACGAACTATAAAGATCTCTAAACAATGTATTGTATACTTGAAATTAATTTAAATAAATTTTAAAAACTTGAAAATTATAAAGATGTCAAAAGTCATGTTTCCTAAAAAAAAAAAAAAAAAAAAAAAAAGATTGAAGGATACAAGTGACAGATCATGCCATAACTATTACTCTAATCTTATAGGATCTAGATTTCCTTTTCCCTCCCTCCCTTCTTTCCTTCCTTCTTTCCATTCTTTCCTTTCTTCCTTGCCCCTTCCTCTTCCTCCTCCTTCTTCTTTTTAGCTTTTTTTCCCTGAGGCAGTCAATTGGAGTTGCCTCTATATGATCCATGAACATGGATCTATAGAAGATTTCAAATGCTATCAAAGGGATCAAAAATGGGAATGTCATTTCTTCAAATAAAAAGAGAGTTTAGTGCACACTGCCTTTGCAAACTACAGCACTGTTTTGGTTGGCTTTGTCAATAAGAGATTTCCTGTGTGTTGGAGAAGAAGTAAAGTTGTATTGCTCACTGGCAGTGAGAATACTTCGAGGTGTGGAAAAGGTGAAATTAAGAGTAAGAGTTGTTGTGGTTGAATTTAATTAATAAACTGTTTCTAGGACTCTGGTCTATGTTTCATCCCGTTTCCTCAACTTTGCCTCTCCTTATTTCTTTTACTAAACTTGGCCTTTCTTACTCTTTTATCCATTTTCTCCACTGAGACCCAATTATATACAATCAGTTATAAGAAAGAATATAAATAAAACACAAAGTTTATTTAAAATAGATAGTTTTATATATTGGATTTTTAAAAATGGAATGAGTCTACATGATTTTTAAAATAATAGCCAAAGCATGGTAATCCACAGGGACATGAAAATAACAGCAATAAACACAATCCTTCATAAAAAAAAAAATGTTCTGCATCTAAAAGGATTGTCCTGCATCAGTAAACTCGATGTTTTAGTGAGCTCGATAACTATGTCTCTCAATTTCTCATTAAGCAAAATATGAATAAAAGTAAAATAAATATAGTACGTATGTATTAGAGGGGAAAAAGTGTTCAACTTTTTTTCCCTATTTATTTGGGGCAGTTTAGCTCTGCATCCTTAGACAGTCTTTGTAATTCTCTGTAGTGGACTTGCCAATGCTTGTGGTCCTGCTCAAGAAAGGATTGTTAATGGACTTGCTAGTGGTTTGTTAATGTGGAGATGGAAGCTCATTCTCTACAACCAAGAAATCAAGAAGCAAATCACAGGTATTAATAGGGAGTCTGGCATTTCCTGGAAGCTTCTGAAAGTAATCAGGTTGGGTGTTTTTGATATAAATACTGAAGTAATGAGTAATTCCAAAATGTTTGCTCAAGCTCTGAAAGAGGAAGCTGAGGAGAAAAGTATTTGACATGCTTTCAGAGTATTAGTTCTCAAACTTGGCTGCACATTGGAACTGCTCGGGAAACATTTAAAACAACCAGACATTCTGACTTTATTGGTATATGGTGCAGCCTGGGAACTGGATTTTTTAAAGCACTGCAAGTGATTCCAATGTGCGGTAGAGATGAAGCACTGATCTATGGAATGAAGCAGAGAGGCTGTAACATAATTGGAGATTGGGTGCTAAGCCCTTATGGCACAAAGTGTGGTCTGAGGACCAGTGACATCTGCAACCTCTAGTCACAAATCTAGAATCTCAGGCTCCCATCACAGCTTAAGGAATGAAATATGCATTTGAACAAGAGTCCTAAATGTTCCTCTGCACATTAAATTTTGAGAAGCATTAAGGTACTTGAGCCCACAGGAGTCCTTGAATGGCTAGGTTAAGGCTATAATTAAAGGTACCTTCCTAGCCCTAATCTCTTCCACTTAACCAAGCAGGCTTCAACCTTAATTTAATTTTACTAGTATGTCTTCCTAATGGAAAGAGATATTACTTTATTACCATACATTGAGTTGGATTTGAGATGAAAGCCAGACTTTTGAAGAATCAAAAGTCTAAAGGAATTTTCCAAATTAAAAAAAAAAATCTTGTTCCATTATCGTGCCCATAAACAGTGGCTTTCAACTCCAGCTGCATATTTAGAACTACCTGGAGTGCTTTTTAAATATACTGGTTCCACATCATAGCTATTGAATTATAATTTATGGAAGTGGAGGTGCACATTGGTGTATTTTAAAACTCTCCAATGGAGATTTGTGTGAGCTAGCTTCGAGAATCACTATGGATAAAGTCTAAGGTTACTGACTCCTATATGTCAGTGCCTCAATTAATTCAAATATAGTGAGGTCATTCATTTTGGCTTCCTTGAAGGCTGTTATCAATCACTTCATAAAATGTATCAATGTGCATTATAAGATCAATTAAATATTTAATGCATGGTAAGCTGGTATTCATTTCAGTTCATCCCTATTTCATAGTTAACAGTTGATTATCTACATTAATAAAGTAATGACAAGTATATAAATACTCATACCCAAATGATATTAACATTTTACTTTATGAAATAAAACATTCATTTTATAGACTTTTTATCTTGACATATCTTTAGATAAGTATAAAAATTAGCTTGTACTCCCTCAGTACCTTACAGCTGAACAGTGCAAAGAGACACCTATGGAGTGCGACTTGGAAAGAAGACATCAGCTGTCATTAAAAATCCACAAAATAGATATAGTCCAATAGAGTTTTTTGGCTGCAGTGCCAATTGCATATCAGGTGAAATGATACACATAACTTGCATTTCATCCTCAAACACAATTTGAAAACAATGAGAAAGTCAGATAACTAAAGAGGTTGAACATATAAGTTAGTTGAAGAAAAAAAGAAAAATGTGACAAGTAAAATGAGCAGTCTTAACTGTACATCACTACCAAATAATTTTTAAAATAAACCGCACATACTATTAAAAAGGTGAATAATATGCAGTTATAACCTCCTTTCAAATAAAGAGTTTTTACTTTCATCTTGAAAACAAAAGCTTCAAGCACTGAACTCATTGCAAATTTGGGTATTCTTAAGTAAGTCATCTGTATGGTTCCTTAGATTTTTTCCATTTATAAATAAATATTTGTCCTTAAAGTAAGCGTTGAAAAGATTATTGGTGTAAGACATTATTAAGGTATTGTTCAGAATGACATTTTCAAGAACAAAAATAAAAATGAATAGTATCAAAGCCACACAGCCTTTTGAGATTCCTATGCTGCCCTATTGGGAAGGGCTCCGTCCACATGCTAGAAGACTTCTTTGAACCTGAATTTCTATAATCAGGACAGGTACTTGAAAACTTATGATTTAAATTCTTAATTTATGTCATTAGGTAATACTAACATTAAAATCAAGAGACCTCAGGCTACAGATGATCTTATTTAAAAAATCTTCTTCTTTTTCATTAGGCTTAGAGTCAGACTTAAACCAAATCTTTAAGTTAAATGAGAATTCTTAATGGCCTATAAAGAAAATCTATAATAGTAAATTGTATCTAAATATAAAAGCATTATATATTTATGATTAAATGCTTAATAAATGATGAACCATTTAAATGAGAATAATCCCATTATGTACACATTGTAACTTTTTTCATAAATATGTTACTGAAATATTGCCATTTTATCATTTGCTAATTTTAGAAGTAAATCACATAGAAAAAAGAAAACAACGGTCTCAGGCAGGTTTTGGGGAATGTAACAATCAGCTTAAATAGGTAGCTGTTTTTACCCACTGGGTGATTGTAGTTTATTTTGTTCTTTTACAGTTTTTAGAGCAAGTAGAACTGTCTCTGCTTCCATTAACTTTAAAAGCCATGTTAGGAATGTATAATCAAACATTTAAGAGGCAAAATTATGGACCATATGGAGGGTAGAGAAAATTGCTCAGGCTAGGTACCGCTTTCAAACTTTTCTAGCAACTACCTGCATAGCCTCAGGTTAAGTACTTCACTTTTGTGAGTAGGTAGATGGCCCATGTTTAACATCTGGAGGTTTGGCCAGATTCACTGTAAGGTCAGTTTCAATTCTCAAAGAACCCTATGGCTTAAATTCTGGTTTAGTCATGATGTGGTATAAATAATAAAAAAGGATAATGTATTTCAATTTTGAATTTTAATTTCAAGAATACTTACAGTTAAGGCTGGCGGTCCGGGAGGTCCCGTATCTCCCTAAAATAGATTAAAGAAGAGCTGCAATTACCAACAGTCCCTTTTGAATGTGTTATTTATCAATTTTCTGAAGTGAATAGAAGCAATACTTAGATAAATCATGAACAAAAGAAAAATAGAATTTTATCTTGACAAAAGTCTCTGCACAATGAAAAATGTATCATGTGCTTTTAGTTCTCATGATAGAAATATCACCTTGTGCACCCCCATGTTTTTTGCAGAACTTGTTTTGAAAAGCTAAAATAATCTAATTTCTATTCTTTTGTCTACTTATCCAAAATTAGAAAAAAATATCTCTTCAAATATGGTTACTTGCCAATGGAACAGCTGGGAAGTGTCATAATGACAGATCATTTTTCTGACAAAGTTAGTATGAGGATCAGCAGAAATAATAAGTGGATGTCCCCACTTCATGCCTCCCAGCTGCAAGAAGTGGTCTTGTTGCCCCTTCTAAAGCTCTGCTGAATTGGCATTGTGTTTGCCATCAATTGTAAGAGGCTTTGCCTATATTTATGTATTTTTAAAAACTAAAATTGCTTTGCTGACTTATGTGAATACAAATTGACATATTGACAAACTATTCAAAACGTTTAAAAAATGGTTCACCTGAAAGTTCATAATCTTCTAGATATGTCACCTATATGCCTATTGTTATCAGCACCCCTACTTAATTCATAAGATCTCTTAGTCATTAGGTCCAAGCATCACTGCTATAATCCTTGTTTAAGTGGACACAATGGAGACCACACACTATATGGCACGGCATACAGGGATGTTGTATTCTCATGTGGAGAGTATCTCTAAAACTTTCTCTTTTCTCGTCTAATATAGTCACCTCAAAAGTTAAGACTTAGCATTGTGTAATCATTATTTTAGAGAACAACTAAATAAAAATAACCAATAATTGTTAAGGAACACTAATGTAGCTTAAACCCCTCACTGAGGATCAATTTGCAAGACCAGCTTTAATGCAGAAGTAAATATAGCAGACAAGGATTTCTAAATGCACTGATAGCAGAGAACAAAATCTAGTGCAAAACAGCCACACCGACAATTCTCATCAAACTGGGATCGTCCAATAACCTTATGCCAAACAACTCTTGCTTTTACTATTTCTTAATTATCTTTTCAAGGTCAATTGCCAAAATGCCATTATAAAATCGCATGTGAGAAAAGGTGGCAGGAAATGGAACATTTAGACTAAGACTGAAATGCAAAGGTAGCCTCCTTTCCCCAAAGGCCACCTGCTTCACCATCACAGTGGCAGCTTAGTGCTACTGGCAAAGTTCCCCAACACAGGACACGGTTGCTAATTTGGTGATGGAATGCCTAATGCAGTTAAGCAAAGGAGAGAAAGGGGAAATCTTATAAACACAAATTCATGTTGACTAGCAATTGTGTATTTAGTCTCTTCAAACTAATTAAATAAACCAAAAAGGCTTTTCTTGTTCAGATGCTTTTAACGTAATAGCCTTTGGTTAATTTTAACAAAATTAACTTTTGGCAGTTAAACTATCCATGAAAAGTCACTACAGAGGTTCTCAGGGTTTTCTTAAGAAAAGATTGGCACTTTTCTGGGTAAATATAATACCTTTTCTCCTTTTGGACCTGGTGGACCACGAGAACCCAAGTCACCTTTCAAACCCTGTACAAAAAAACACAACCAATGTGATTTCTATATACAGTTCACAGAAAGCTTCGATTTCCAACAAGTCATTAGTCACAAAATAAATCATAATTTACTGAACGCCCAAATCCCATTCTTCAGTGTGTGTTATAGAGAGAAATAGAGAAAACTGGCACTAAAATGACAAGCAACATCTGCGCTGTGGTGGGTACAGATACATTAAATCAGTGTGAGTCCTCAATACTGCATATTTGTGCAACTTTGCTTCCTGCTAAAATTACATTAATTCACCATCTGGGAGAACATCATTTAGATCTATATGAGCTTTTAAGTATCCACTTTGGATTAAATTTGAGGATGTGGTAAATATCTCTGATTTAGCATTGATTTGGCCTTTATGAAACTTGCCCCCAAAATTCAAGATTTAAATAAAAAACATTTTTATGTCTCTTTCAAAAAATATAATTGTGGGGGAAAAAGAAATAAAAGATATATTCTTTTCAGATCACGCACAAAGCTGGGGCTAAACTGAAATCTCTTTTCTGTTTTAAAGTATTTTCTAGTTCTCTAATCCCTATCTCTTTTTTTTTTTTTAACCTGAGTTTATAAAAATATCAAATGAAACTGTATAAGATATAACACATCAGATAAATATATTCATAAATCTTCTAGACTCTTGGGTGTTTTAGTGAGTATTTAGTTGCTCTGACTCAGAAATGACAGCTTTCAGATTACCACGATTTCACTAGAGATCAGGTCTATAGCTGAATGTATTCATAGTGTAAATAGAAAGTTTGATAGTCACAACCTGACTATGCGGCAAATAGGAAAAAATGTGTTTCCTTGTCCTTCGTTTAACACATTGAATGAGGGAAGAACAATAATGGAAAAAAGAAATAGTCTGAAGTCAGACAATGCACAGTAAATCTAGGTGCGTTACAGTTCCGAGCAGAGGAGCCAGCTCTGACATTTTGTAGTGAGTAAACAATGCCAAATGCCATCACCTGTAGCTACTCAATATAGAAGCCAATGATAATTTAAAGGAGCAAAAGAGAACTGGATACTCAAAATCTTTTTGCAGAGAGTATATGAAATCTGCAGTCTTACACATAAAAAAATTAGTAAATGAAAACAGCATCTAACTGGCAAAACAAAAAACCTTTCTAGTTGCATAATACCTTTTTCATGAAATTTATAGCTATGTTTCTTCCATTACCTTGCAGTATTTCTAGAACAAGGATTAGCAAAATATTAAATCATATTTGAGATGTGATATTCTCTTATTATTTGAAACATCCATTCCTTCCCAAATCAAGCAACACATTATTTAGATATGCCTCTGGTATAAAATTTGGCACCAACATATTCTGAACACTTGGGGGAAGAAAACTGCCAGTTCTGTGAGTAGATTTTATTCTTAGTTCACTTTTTCATTCATCCATTTATTCAATAAACATTTATTATATACCTTGTATGCAGTCACTCTCTAACTGTTAGACTTGCACTGTCCAATACAGTAGCCATGAGCCACATGTAGCTTTTGAGTCCTTGAAATGTGACTAGTCTGAATTGAAATATGCTATGAGTGTAAAATACTATTCGGTTTTTGATATTTAGTATAAAAAATGTAAAATACACATTCATAATTTGTATGTTGATTATATATTGAAATTATAACATTTTGGATATGGGATTAAATAAAATATATCATTAAAATTAGTTTCTCCTCTTTCTTTTTACTTTTCTAATGTGGCTACTAGAAATATATATTTGCATTTCTCTTGAATTTATAATATTATATTTTAAGATAATATTATGGACAAAATATTATATATTATATAACAATATATTACTATTAGATGGTATTACATAGGGATACAAAAAAGAACAAGAAGTTGACAAAGACTGTCTTTGACCAAACTTTAGTCAGGCTCCTTTGAGCCTCAACCTCGGTCCCCATCCTATCCTGTCTTTGGCCTGTCTAGCCCAGTTTAAGCAAGAATCTTGCTTAGTCAGTTTAGAGAGAATCCCCTACCTTTGATATCTGATCAAGTTTCTCATTGCCCACCTTTGATATCTTTGGCTTGCCTTTAGCAAGAATTCTGGTAAGTCAGTGTAGCAAGAATCCCCCTACCCTAAATGTCTGCTCTTAGTAATTTTCCATTCACTGATCCATCACTCTGCTGACTGGCTATAAATCCCCACTTGTCCTGGCTGTATTCAGGGTAGAGCCCAATCTTTCTTCTCTATTGCTATACCCTATGTAATAGTCTTGAATAAAAAAAATCTTCCTTACCCTTGTAACAAGGATCAGAATAATTTTTTCCTTTACAAAATCAAGATTCCTGTCCTTATGGAACTCATGGTATAAGAGAAAGATGACTGACAGGAAACAAGTCAACAAGCTGAATGTGATAAATGTGAAGGAAGAGAGAGCTGCTATTTCAGTTGGGGTGGTCAGAAACAGCCTCTTTGTGGAGGTGACATTTGTTATTTCAAAAGATCTAGCCATGCAATGATCCTGGGAAAAAACCCTGGGATAAGAGGAAACAGCTAGCACAAAAGGCCCCAGCGAGGAGAATCATGAGTGAGTAGGTAAAGAGCAGGAGATTAAGTCAAATTAGCCAGGTGACATGGCAGAGAGAACTGCAGATTGTGGGAAGGAGTACAATGGGAAGCCACTTATTGTTTTAAGTATGGAAATAATATGAGATGACTCTTTCAACAACAACAACAACAACAACAACAACAAATCAAGAGAGCAAGATGGCCGAGATAGGGTGGTGACAGCGGAGATAGAGAGAAGTGGTAGAATTGGCACAAAATAGAAGGCAGAACTTGCAGATATGCTGAAAGTGGAGACGGGGCAAGACGGCAACAAGGCTGATTTGCAGTTGGCTTAGATAACTGGCTAGGAGATTGTGCCATTTACTGAGCTGAGAAATTTATAAAAAGAGGTTTTCTCCCTTCTTGCTGGTGTAATGCTATCCAGAGGAAAGACAAACCTGAAGAAATGGCTGAAAAAGATATCAACTATCCATTTAATCAACAAACAATATTAAATATCTATAAATATGCAAGACTAAAATCTATGAACATATGAATATAAAAACATTTTTTTTTAAATGGAAGGAAATATTAAACACAATATTTAGGAAAAGGTTAACTCTGTGGCTAGCATGGATGTACCAAATATTGACTGTACCCATTCAATGTTGAATTCAATATTGAATTCTGAGTATACCCATATTCCAGTTATTACTATGATTTATGACCATCATGTATGTTACATGTTGCAAAAATATTTTTAGGCTTAAAATAATACATTAAAATTTTTTTTCAGTATTTCTGCCTGACAAATTGACCCTAACTGCAACTTCTGGGAAGGAAGTTAATGACAAGTGATTCCATAACTATTCCTTGTTCTAACAACTATGGTCAGGGAGGGGGGGTGGGGGAATAATGCAACCAATTACAAGCTGATGTGCATATGGAGTGCTATTAGACAAGTATATAGCAAGTGTGAAGGAAGCAGTTCCCAGGGGTGCCTAATTCTACTGGAGGCGCTCAAGACTCCAGCTCAGAAGAGTCAGAAAAGGAGTGGCATTTTATGTATAACCTTAAGTAAGTTATTTAAGCTTCCCTATAAAGTAGATATAAATAACAGTTATCTTGAAAGGTTGTTCTGAGAATCATATTTTAAAAATACTTATCACATGGTAGGTACTTAATAAATGCTGCTTTTGCTTTTCAAGTCCAAGTTTAAAGGATAATTAATAGTTCATTCTGTTCAGTTTTGTACTCAGTTGATGGATATAAAACAACTTGTTTTAACTCACAGAGAATAAAATGCAATTGAGAAGTGCTGCATTCGTCAAGCTTCTACTATTATGGCCACTGAAGTGGGCCCATGTAACTCATGTCTTCCTGTGACAAAGTACAATGTTTTTAAGGCCATGGCATCATAATAGGCTCTCAGAAACAGATCTGTAATGCTTTGCTCAAGTATAATTTTTCTCCTTGTGTCACACTGGTGCTGCTATCAATGGTTATTGAGTACTGGGGAGAAAAAGACACAGCACTCACCATAAAGCATAAAGAATCAAATAGAACAGACTCTGAATTCAATATTGAATAAGGTAGGCATCTATTATCAAGGTTCTCAATAAAATTCATGTGTATAAAGATTCTCAAAAGCACAGTAGTTGATTTCATATGTTATGCAGAGGCAGGAACTCTTCTAAAGGCAAGAGGAAAGCTGAAGGACAGAATTACGGCTAGAATTATAAAAGCAGGTAGACTTGAAATTAATTTTTATTGGAAAACCTACATACTTATGGTATGTAGCATCTTTAAAAATCAGACGATACAAAGTAATGTTATTTGTTAAATTTTAATCCATCAATTAATTCTTTACTCATCTTCCACTGACTGCATTTTATTCCCTAGCAATGGCACCAGCTGTCGCCAGCTGATATCTCAGCTTTGTGATTTCAATATTTTTGTATTCAGTATTACAGATTGCATTGGTATAAAGAGATTAACATGATTATTTTAGGAACATCAGATGCTGCCATTCTGATAAGGAAGATTTGAAAAACAATAATAAAAATGCAGAGAAAGAAACTAAACTCAGTGATTGAAATTTGCTTCTTTAAGATTATATAACACCACAAAAATAAATGAAAAGATATTTCTACTAGAGATAAATATGTTTCGCTTAACCCAGTTTCTCAAAATAGCAAATGTTTATGTTGCTCTTACTACATGTGAAACATTGTTCTACATGCTCTACATCTGATAACTATGTAATCCTCAGGAAAAATGTCTATGACTTAGGTGCTTTTAACATTAAGATCCTATTAGGCAAATGAAGAAACTGAGTCACAGAGAGAATAAGTAATGTACAGAGTAGTATGACAGCTAGCCAGTGGCAGAGCTGGAATTTGAGCCCATATAGTCTGGCTTCAAAGGGGACACTAACAACTTTATAAGACTCCCTCTCAAGTCTGTTCTAAGATGCCATTGTTGAATGTATCTCATAGTAGGTCACAATAAAAACCATTTAAGTATTAACTAGAATGTTTATAAAGCTGAGGTCTTGTATTTTGAAGAACAAATTCTAGCAATTCAAATTTCTGACAATTTCAATGGATGTTTAGTACAATATCTTTAGTCTAATACTCAAATAACTTGGAGATCAAGACAAAGTTTACGTGCGAGCGCGCACACACACACACACACACACACGGAGATAATCAAGGATGCATTTAAAAAGGTATCAGAACTTTTTTTTGTCTTAATGACTAAGGTCTGCTACTGATATTTAGTTGGTGAGTCTCAAGGATGCTAAACATTCTACCCTTGTAAGACAGTCCCACATGGCAAAGAAATGTCTTGCCCAAAATGCCAACAGTGTCTCATAGATAAAGACTGAACTACTTACTGCATACTCCCCTTTAAATAAGTTTTATACTTTATAAAGTGAGCTTGCCAATTTTGTGGGAAAGCTGGCACATAAGAAACTATTAAATACATTTACATCAAGGTATATGTAATATGCAAGAATAAAGAATTTTAAAAGGTTTTTGAATTCATTTTGTAGGAATATTAAATTCTTCCAATTTTCTCTGACTTAGAAAGTAGGAGAATGAGCTGGCCCATTGAAGTGATTCACTATGCATTCTAACAGGATATTTCTGAAGTTATAAACCCCATCATGTCTTGATTCTAATTCAAATTGAAATCACTATTATAATACCCTTCATTCCCTAAGAATGTGTGCCTGCACTTATTGAAAGTCAGAGTGAACTGTCATAAATGCTGAATGATTTTAGTTTGCAGTCAGTTTATTTTAGCATTGAAAAATAGGCAGTGACAAATGTCGCATAATTTGGTGGGAAAATAAGAAACTTTTCAGTTAAACATGTAGGATTAAAGGCTGACTTTACCATTTTCTAAAAAGTTGCTTAATTTCTCAAGCCTTTATTCCTTACCTCTGAAATAGGCTAGCTAGCTAGGCTGGGGTAAGGATCGAATTTCAAATCTCTCATGAAAACAGTTGCTGGACTATACCACAAGATTAACACCACCACCACCAATGATGTAACAACAGAGCACTTGATTCTTTACTCCTAGTGATTGTAAAGGGGAAGTAGCAGAAATGTTACTTTTATTATTTCTCTGTAGTCATGACTCCTAAATATCTTTGGCAAAATTAAGGAAAGAAAAACAATATTACCTACGTATTAACTAAGTAACCAAGTGAGAAAAGTTAGTTAATGTGCTTTGTCATGCTTTACGATGTACCTAATGAGCTACATGAAACAATAATGATACTAAAGAAATGACATCCTGTGACTGGGGCATATGAAGGACTCTTCCAAGATCTTTCTCAAAGAGGAAAGCTCATACTGCCCACTAGGCTGTGTGCTCTCTCCACAAGTCAATCTATTCAGACTTGGAACTCATACAATGGCTGCCAGGGTGTTTGGGCATGTAATAGGCACTCAAATATATGTGCGTCTCAATTGATTAATTCTAAAAAGCCAAGTCACTTTAGACACCAATAAGAAAAATTTCCAAAGCACTAACTAAGGTAATGTGAGTATATTTTAGGTTCCAACCCCTCAATTCTCTTTCCAGTTTTATTCAAGTATTTGGAAAATTTTGTGCTCTATTTCAATTCTAACATTATCTTAATGAACTTCTAAAAATATATTTTTTCTTCTTTCTCAGATAGTCCACATATATGTAGCTTGGTTATATTTTGCAGCACTGTAGGTAATTTCTTTCAACACTCCTACATTTCTCGCAAAATAACATCCTTCCCATAATGAATGGTCAAATCCTTGGGCTATTTTTGAATTTTCACCACAGTCAAGTGCCAAATTATATATATATTTCACCTTTGTAACATCACTACTTGTGCCCTCCCTTCTATCTCTGTTATCCTTAGGCTCTAATATTTTAGACTATTATAATAATCTCTCAATTTTTAAAATGCAACTTCAGCAAATAATTACTGAGAACTCAATCACTCCATATATTTACTAAGTACTAGGGATTCCATGAAGAGTATGATTAAAAACAAAAACAAAAACAAAAACCAAACACACACAGGCAAAGGCCCAGTTCTCTCCATTTTATAGAATACACTGTAAAACAAATCTTCATTTAACACTGTTTGGACCATAGCTCCCTTCTGTTCAGAAGAAGAAGGGAAAACACATAGGACTTTCCATATTCTGGCTCCAGCTGTATTCCTGTTTTATTTTCTCCACAGTGCCTTACACTTACATATAGCAGGAATTCCAGAAACTTGAAAAAATGCTTTAAGATTCACCATGCTTTTCAAATTTGTAATCTTAATAATCTCTTTGTAGAAAATCATAGTGATGGGGACTTGAGAATCTATTCATAGTCCATCACTTTATAGACTCTGAAAAGTGATTTTTCTCAGCTAGTGACAGAACTAGGAAATGAACTGAGCTCTAGTTTTCCACTCCAGAACTCTTACCACCACACCAGGTACCTCCAAAGACAGGGCTAGTGAGATGAATCAGAAGCTCCATTTAAATGTATGGGCCAACAGCTGTGATATTCTATGCCCTGATACACCAAAAGGAGGTAGAGAAGATGCAGGGACTCCTCTAGCTGTAAGCCATTGGTGCCATTCCTTTTCTCTGGTGTATAAAAATGATTTCAAAGGGGAGAGGAACAAGAATGAGGGGCATATGAAAGATGTAAATGGGATTTCTTAGAAAGTAAACAAGAGTAAAGCTGCAGGGGTCAGGCCTCCTGCCAGTGTTAACTACTTAGGTATTCCTCTTTTGGAAGCACCCCTTCCCCAGGTATCCCTCTAACTTTGTTCAATGGCCTCAAGGATTGTAATGATGTCTCCCTTCCCACTGTAATGATCTACCACAGGATGGATTTCATAACACCTCTGCAGCATTAAAGAATCAAATCTAGCTTTCTTATTCTTTTATCCATAAAGCAAGTAGTGTAGCCCTTCGGAATCTTCAAAAACATTTCTATACATGTGAAAAAAAAAGAAAACTAGGAAAAACAATTCTCATTTTGGATACTTTCTCCAGTAAAGTTATTTTATCTTTAGTAAATGGCGAATTTGATGACCTGAAATAAGATTAATCTACATTTCAGAAGAAAATCCAGATGTGGGCTATCCTTCAAATTTCATAAGAATCCAAGTGAAGCTCCAAGGGGATAACTGTCCTAAGGGAAAGGAGAGGAGATGGCGGGACTGCAGGCAAGAGTATCTGTGAGGCCGAAGAACTGGCGCCGGGGAGGGTGAGCAATACGGATACATGTTTTCCTTCTTTTCTTCCCTTTCTTTGCATCACTGTGATCCTACCTATATAGACCCTTCAGAAGATGGAGATTCGGGGTAGAATAAAAAGTGAACCCTGGGTAAGAACACAGACCACAGTAGAATGAAAGAAGAAAAAAGATAGATAAAGGGAAGACAAGAAAAAATGCAAGCCAGAAACAGCAACAAAGGAGAAAGGGCTGTTAAGGGTGATGCAAGTATGAAATACGGTCGACTCTTGAACAACATGAGTTTGAACCATGTAGGTCCACTTACCCATGAATTTTCTTCAATAAATACCAGTACTATTTCTGATCTGTGGCTGGGAGTCTGCGATACAGAGGGCCAACTGTATGCATTGATCTACGCCATTTTATATAGGGCACTTGAGCATCTGAGGATTTGGACAGCCATGTGGGGGTTCTGGAACCATCTAAGCTTTTGATGAGTCAAAAGTTATATGCAAATATTTGACTGTGTGGGGGTCAGCGCCCCTAACTGTTGCATTGTTCACGGGTCAACTGCATATAAAACCAAGGAACTATCTGTAGTGAAATTAAAAATACTGAGCCTCTACTGAGCCATGTGAAAATCTGCCTTGATTCTTGATATTGCTGACTGTGGCTAGGTCTTCCAAGATAGTCCAATCTTACTAGGATTAGACAGTCAGCATATTTCAGTGGCAAAATGTAATCAAAATATTAGAAAAAAAAGAGTTAGGCTCACATTTTGTCCATTAATGCCAGCCACACCTGGATCTCCTTTTTCTCCTTGTTCACCCTAGAAAGAAATAATTTATACATTAAAAAATGTTATATATAAGAACCTTTACTAAGAAAAAACAAGAGAGTTATTACATTGTTTGGATACTTATAACAATGTGATTACTTTGCTAATCCCTTGAAAGAAACCTTTATTGAAAAAACAATTCTGAGTTCTAAAACCAAAGAGAAGTTTAAAAGTTCAATGAAAAGCTGCATAAAAATGATTAGAGTAGAAACAGAACAAGGATTATTTATTTGCTTTTATACAACACGGAACTTTCTGGAGGGCACTTTGGCAATACATATCAAAGGTCTTGAATCTGTTCATTTCATTTGGCCCAGTGATTTCATTTCTAAGAATGTATCCTAAGGAAATATTCAGAGATGAAAAGTTTTAGATGCTAAGACTTAGAGTGCAATGCTATTCATAGCAGTGAAAGAGAGAGACAGAGAGACAGAGAGACAGAGAGACAGAGAGACAGAGTGTGAGAAAGAGAGAAATATCCTAAGTGTGCAATAATAGGAAACTGGTTTAAAATTATGGCTTATAGATATAATGGAATGCGATATGGCCATTAAAATGTTTATAAATTTTATTTTAAACTATAGGAAAATTTTCATGATGTAGAAATAAGGTACAATTAATGGATTGACAAATTCAGAGAATAAATGTTAACCACTACTTATTTTTATTACTTTAAATTTACAAATGTTCAAAATAGCCACTAATATCATTGTTGATGACACATACTCATAGTGACATATATTTTTGTTTGATTACCATCTGAAAGGTGTGTACTTTCATTGGTAAACTCTGCATATCTACAGTATAATTTTAAAACTTTTAATATCTGTTCACTTATCTACCTACCTATTTATCTACCTGCCTATGTATCCATCTACCTATGCATCTTAGAAACAACCCTGGAAGAAAACAAACCAGAAGAATGTACGTGGCTAACCTATTCATTTTATGATTATGGCTAGTTTTTTTTTTTTTCCCTTCACTATACTCTTCAGTGTTTTCCATTTTTTTAAAATAATAAATATGCATTATCTGTATAATCAGTAATGTGTTTAAAAATAAAAGAACATATTATGTATAGAAGAAACTCATCCAAGTCTCCAAATCTATCACATGTCACTGTGTGGAGGGGGTGAGGGGTGTAGGCATGTGTGTGTAAGAGGGGAAAAAGTAGTAGTTGTGCCACTGGGGTAATTTTTATTCTCCTCTTTATCTCTTGTTATCATTTTCATTCTTTTTTTTTTTCTAAAAAATGAACACATTTTGATTTGTAAAAAAAAAAAAAAAGGAAAAGAAAAGCAAGCACCTGATTTTAAGAGATAATACATTATATACTCTACAAACAGATATAAGCATGCACAGTCCCAATCATTTAAGACTATGTATTATTACTATATGGAAAATACAGGATTATGAAGTAAAAATAACTTGATTACTGAAACATAAGAAATATATGTAACCTACAGAATAAACAAAAGTGCATACAAACACGTTTAATGAAATAGGTTCAAGTTCGAATGAAGCTGAAAATTTTAAATTGAAAATGGAAGAGATACTCTAGAGCTGGGCTGTTCAATGTGGCTGCCACTAGATGCATGTGGCTATTTACATTTAAATTAACTATCATTTAAAATTCAGTTCCTCAGTTGTTCTAGCCACATTTCAAAGGCTCAACCGTACTTTTAGAATAAAACATTTCCATCATCACAGAAAATTCCATTGCACAGTACCAATCTAGAAGATACAATTTTTAATGAAAGCAAAGAATTAAGAGGCTTGAAAATACACAGAAGAAAAAAATCTGCCTAGTAAGGGGATCAGAAATAACACAGTGTCTAGAGGGTGAAATAAAATGTGTTCAGCACAGGTTAATAAAATAAATTTAGATTTTTACACAAAAAGACAAATATAATTCCAAGGGAATCATCATTAACTTTCAGAATGTAACTAAAAATGGATGCAGTCTTTATGCAAAATTAATTGTTCTCATAGGTGGAACTATAAGTAACTCTATATATTAAAGAGGTATGTGCCTACAGGAAAATCTGCAAGTTTGACAGTGGTAATAAAAGTTAAATAATAATAATAGAACACAGTTGATATTTTGATGAGGTTTATGCTGTATGGCAAGAGGATAAGACATATAGTAGAAGGCTAAAGAAGAAACATGCTGTTTCCATTTGATCACTGGAGAAAATCTGCAATGGATTTTTAAAAGTACAATTTTTAATATAAAAAGTAAGTATGGGTCACCATGATCAAAAAAGTTTCACAAAAAAACCAAGTCATTTACTTTATTATCATTGTTACCAAACTCTTGTATAATGTTTACTATGTGTCAAGCACTGCTTTAAGCATCTTGCAATTCTATGACAATCTAGATAAAGGTATGATCATTATCCTCCTTTTGCAGATGAAGGAATTGAAGACAGGTTAAGTAACTTGCCCAAGGTCACACAACTTTTAAGGAGCAGGACCCTGATTGAACCCAGACAGTGTGGCTCTTAAAAGTATTAAGCTCATTAGTTTTTTGAAATGGCACAGGGATAATAAAAATATATATAGTCTAAATTTCTTCAAAGTAGGAGCCAAAGTCTCTTATAATGCACCTCAGAGTAGGAAACAGAAATATAGGCCAGGTAATGTTACTATTGGTGAATATGTAACTGGCAGAGAAATGGTACCCAAGGGATTGATCTCTCTTGATCTTTCTTTCTCACCTATCGGGTTCTTTTAATCTTGGCATGATTGACAATTCTTTGTTGGGGGCTGTCCTGTACATTGTAGGATGGTCAGCATCATCCCCAGCCTCTACTCACTAGAGGCCAGTAGCCAGCCTCTCCCCCAACCCTTCTGCCCTTAATCCTGACAAATAAAAATGTCTCCAGACATTACCAAATTTCTCAGAGAGGGTAAAATTGCCTTCAGTTGAGAACCACTGATATATTATGTATTATAAAGATATATGTAACAGATTTCATAATATGAAATGTTACCACAGACTGAAACAATATGCTATAATGAACAACATGGACTTTATTAAAAATAAATGTGCAATCCTGTATTTAAATTAATTCTGGATGGATTAGAGAGCCCATTTAAAAATAAAAATATTAAAGGAGCAGAAAAAAATAAGTGAACATTGCTCAGAGCTCTTGGTGAGTGAGATGTCTCTAAGCATGGAAACAAAAGAAGAAATTCATAATGGAAAAAAGTTATATATTTGACAAAACATTAATGATATAAGGCAACAATATTATAAACTAAACTGAGAGGCAAATAACAAAATAGGAAAAAAGCATTTTGTGGCTTAATAGTTAACATTATTAATATACAGGGTTTTTATTATTCATAAGAAAAATAATAATAATATCTCAATTGGTAAATGAGCAAACGACACACCTGGCAATTTACTACGAGGAATACAAAAGAAATGCAAATGACAATTAATAATATTTTAACTGGCATTAATTCATTTGGTTATATATAGAGAAAATGTGAGCTCTAAAGGATCTTCATTGCAAATTCTATCATTCTTTGGAAAAAAAAAAAAAAGCAGTGGGAGTTCTATATCCAGACAGAAAAAAAAAAGATATCCAAGTCTTGCATACTAAATAAATCCTAAACAAAAGCAACCAATTGTTCCTTTTTTTCTCCATCGAGAAGAAAATGAATAAAAACAAAATGACAGCATTAAAGATTTAAGCTAGAATTAAAGAAAATTTATTTGCCATCAGAAGTTGTTAGAGAGTAGATTGTTCCTCGGTGTTTGGATAAGTTCAAAAGCAGAAAGATTCAAAAACAAAACCGACAGAACATTTCTGGATAGTTCTTTGAAAAAACAATGTCATTCTGGTCTGACGAAAACTTAAATGCAATCCAAACTAAAGGGGATAAATGGGAATTAGATTACATTTAACATTTTTCCAATGCTTATTCTTTGATGAAACTAATTTCAAAACTATATCAAAAGTTAATGTCCTTCCAAAAAAACCTGCAATACTTTAGTATTCAAAATATTACATTCAGGAAATAGTAAACATCTTTTATAGAGTCTGAATTAATCCATTATTATCTACAATGCAGGTAGTTATTAACATTACTAATGCTTCAATAGATACTAGCAGTAATATACTAGCTTCTATTCCACACACATATACTATATGCCAGACTATGCTAAGCACTTCACATAGTAAGGGCATATTTTAATTCTAGCAGTAACTGCAAAGTGGGCATTCTCATCCCCATTTATTGATGATAAATCAACAGCTCAGAGGACATATGTAACTTTCACATAGGCAAAGAACTCTTATTATCCCAAGTTATTTGCTCAATTACTTTGATCTTGCAGGGACTTTCAATCAATTGTTCTGTCTAATTTAACCCTGCCCTAGGCCTACTTCAGTCTTCAGCTCAAGCTGTTGTGTTCAGTTCCTATGGAGCCTTGGATGCTGTCAACATTTCACCTCAAGGTCAACTCTCCTTCCTATCTTTGTTTTTCTACCTCTGGGATTTTTCTGAAGTTGGGGAGTTTGTTCATCCCTAGAAAGGCAGCCTGGAAGGGGTGGGGTGTGTAGGGCCCCTGGAAGCAGTCTTCCACCAAAGGGTGGCATGAGTTGGTGTATTGTGTCCTTCCAACCCTGCAGAGATGACTGCAGGGCACACTTCACATGGTTCCACAGAGTGGTAATAAAAGTTAAATAATAACTCCCCAGCACGAGTCAGGCCCAGTTAACTACAATGATAAACAGCTAAAAATGCACTCTTTTATTAGTTTTTTCTTGTCCTCTGATGTATTCTCCCTGTTCCCTTATACCTGTTTCTTGAGAATCCTCTCAAATAAATTACATGCTCCAAAGGATTGTCTTAAAACTTGTTTCAGGAACACCCAAGTAACTTCACTTTTGATCTATCACTTCAACTGTTCTCTTGCCACCAAACAAGCTTTCCCTTAATGCCCTGAAATCTATTAATTTGCTTATACCATTTCC